ACACATCATCAGAAATGTGTGATTGTGGATACTCAAGCACCAGGCAATAACCGCAAGATAACTGCATTTATAGGTGGTCTAGACCTGTGTGATGGCCGGTATGACACACCTGAGCATCGACTTTTCCGGGATCTTGACACTGTTTATAAGGATGATTATCACAACCCTACGTTTCCTGTAAGTATATCATCTCCCAGCAAATGTTTACATTGGCAGTAAGTTGTATATTCCCAATAGAAAGGAGTCAAAGGATGTAATAATGATGGATTGATGGGGTGAGCGGGAAGAGAGAAAGAGACGCAGTTGGTAGCCTCTGGAATGACAGGCTAATCTGGGATCATTGTTTCTATAAGTATGTGATCGTTATTCTGTGTTGAGTGTTGTGCTTTGTTTATGTATTGCAAACTCTGTGTCTTGGGTTAATGTGCTACTTCCTTGTACAACATTTGAATGAAGGAGCAGTATTCAGTATTGTTTCATTATATGACACATAAAGCTACACAGATATGATATTTCCAATCCTGATCTGGTTCATTTCCCTTTACTTAAAAATATCAATTTGATTAGTTGCATCAGATTGATTATTGGCTACTATATTCATGTATTGTATTGTGAGCTGATAATCCTGTTGGCCTGATGTATTAAAATCCTTATGTAATGTTTTGGCTTCAGTTATTATTATTACTTGATGGTTTGTACGAAGTTGCAGTAGTCAAGTGATGGTAAAAGGTTCATGCTGTTCCTTCCTCTTAAACAGCAAGGTTCATTTTTGTTTAATATCCTGCAGATGCTAATATGATTCCACATCTAACTTTATAAGCATCTTTCCTTGTCTAAATTTTTGGTGAATTAGCTGAGAATGCCAGTGCAAACTACCAACTGGAATTTCTTTTTCCTTTCATTTAAATAATAGGTTGGAATGAAGGGTCCAAGGCAACCATGGCATGATTTGCATTGCAAAATTGAGGGACCTGCCGCATATGATATACTTACTAATTTTGAGCAACGCTGGAGAAAAGCCACCAAGTGGCGCGAGTTGGGTCAAAAATTTAAAAAAGTATCTCATTGGCACGATGATTCTTTGATAAAGCTAGAACGCATCTCTTGGATTCTTAGTCCTTCTGCATTTACTCCAAATGATAATCCAGATCTATGGGTTTCAAAGGAAGAAGATCCTGAAAACTGGCATGTTCAGGTTAACTAGTTTACAATCTTTGAAGTTTCTCCTTGCTCCTTCTTTCAACTGGGAATTTGTTTACTTGAATTCATTTGTTTCACAGATTTTTCGATCAATAGATTCAGGCTCATTGAAAGGATTTCCCAAGGATGTGTATGAAGCGGAGGCTCAGGTTACTTTAATAGGATCAAATAATCTGCCATTAAACTTGTCTTTGACTACATGTATTACACATGAAACTGAGATTCCATTTCAAACTAATTTCCATTTTATTTATTGTTGCAGAATCTTGTTTGTGCAAAAAATTTGGTCATTGACAAAAGTGTACAAACGGCATACATACAGGCTATCAGATCTGCTCAACATTTTATTTACATTGAGAATCAATATTTTGTTGGATCGTCTTTTGCATGGCCATCTTACAAAGAAGCAGGTTTGGTAGAACATTGATGTCCACTTTTGTCACTGGCAATTTCTTGTAACATTTACTTTAATAGCTAAAACAAGTTATTTGGCTAGGATGCAAATAATGCATTCTGGTTTTTTAACCTTTGTTTTGCTTCTTATATTTCCCATACTGTGCTTGCCTTCTTGTGAGTCTTTTTAAGGGCATAAATTCTTTTTTGGGAGCAAGGAATTATCAAGAAGTTTTGAGATTGACATTCCTATGACATTTTGTGATTATCTAATAATAAGTTCAATGATCAGGTGCTGACAATTTAATTCCTATGGAGTTGGCATTGAAGATTGTCAGCAAAATTAGAGCCAATGAGAGATTTGCTGTTTATGTTGTCATACCAATGTGGCCTGAGGGCGTCCCTTCTTCTGCCTCGGTTCAAGAGATTCTTTTCTGGCAGGTAACATGGTGTGAAATTTGTTCCTAGTTTATAGAATTTGTTTATGAACAAATTGCTATTTTCTGATTGTCAAATACTGTAAATTCACTGTATCAGGGACAAACTATGCAAATGATGTATGAAATCATAGCAAAAGAGTTGAAATCCATGCGCATTCACAATAGACGCGCAAGAGATTACCTCAATTTCTACTGTCTGGGAAGTCGGGAGAATTTCCCGGCTGAAGTTTTTGGTTCAAGTAATTCAACTCCAAATATCTGTGATATGGTAACCACTCAACCCTGTCTTATTTAAAATAAAAATAACAGAAAACAGAAACAAGATTGATTGTGGATGATCAGGTTTCAGCTTCACAAAAGTTCCAACGCTTTATGATTTACGTGCACGCCAAGGGTATGATTGTGGATGACGAGTTCGTGTTACTTGGCTCTGCCAATATCAATCAACGATCGTTGGCCGGTTCAAGAGATACAGAGATAGCGATGGGCGCATATCAACCCCATCATACATGGGGAAGGAAAGGGGAACATCCTCATGGTCAGGTTTGCACAAAGATAACACATTCCCCAGTTTACTATCAGCAATTAAAAATAAGAGGATCTCATTTAACAATGATGTTGAATATGGTTTATATATGCAGGTTTACGGGTATAGAATGTCTTTGTGGGCAGAACATCTAGGGATGGTTGATGATTGGTTCAAGGAGCCCCAAAGTTTGGAATGCGTTAAGAAAGTGAACAAGATTGCGAGTGACAACTGGAAGAAGTACACAGCTAACGTGTTCGGTCCATTGCAGGGGCACCTTCTGAAATATCCAATATATGTAGATGTGAATGGCAAGGTACGTCCCATACCTGGACACGAAAATTTTCCAGACGTGGGGGGCAAGGTACTTGGCAGCCGGACTACCCTTCCTGACGTCCTCACTACGTAGTGGCCTAACATTCAAGGGTCAAAAGTATCAAATGGATCACCGGACCGGTCCAGACTAGATGTGCATGGCGGTATATATTACAGGTGCCTCACCCGTCCCCGAATTTTGAGCTATCTTTCTGTTTAGAATGCAAAGCAATCAAATCTATAGGTCGCGCTATGCAAGTTGTATATACTAATTAAATTGATTAGTGGGCTTGAGTTGTGTACCACGCATTCATTAATTCGTTCCACAACACAAGGTCACCGATTGGTACGTCCCTCCCTGTGATTGCCATGCCAGCTCTAATTTCTGAACATTCTTATTTTCTAATTAGGGGGAAGCGTCCTAGACTCCAAGTATCTCTACAGTTTAAAACATTGAATTTGGACTAACAGAATTACAAGAAGGCATTTCACATATCATGACATCAATCATCAACCTCAATCATATACCATTGCCACAAAATTAATTAACGCGGTGACTTCGCCCACCATACCAGTTCATTGGTGAGGGGCACAGTAGAAAATGTAGGTTCCCTTCTCCGTCAGGGTGACGCTGTAGGTCTCTCCGGGGCCATCGTGAAGATCTTCTTCAGGCATGGAGATCTTGGGAGTATGCACTCCTCCTGGAATCTCATCCTCGTCGAGCACAACGTTGTGCGGGAAACCGGCGTTGTTCTTGAACACAATCTTCTCGCGGGAGCTCACTGAGAAATCGTTGGGAAAGAAAGCTAGATATCCGTCGTCACCGCCCAGCAAAACCTCGAGAGCCATGGCATTGCTAGCTACAACGGCACTTGCGGCGGTGGCCACCACAACTGCTCCAACCTCTTTTGATTGCAACCTTAATGCCGAATCTCACCTTTGGGCATGGTGACCCAACCACCTTTGAGTTGCCGCTAACTTCACTGGCATTAGCCTGAGCCCAGTGAATGATGGAACTGCAACGACGGAAGAGGTCACGGTGGCCATCTTGACTTCTGTATGAACTCAACATTCGGACAACTTTGTGGTGCAGGGGATAAACAGGGGAGGAAGTATAATAATTAAGAATATGAATTGCGATTCTTTTTACTGTGCGGTTCGAAAATGCCCAGGAATGTGTGGTCTGCATAATGTGACAAATTTACTCTGGACGTTATCATATGACATGGATTAGACATTTGTTTGACGGAATGAATACCATAAAAATTAAATCTTTTGATGTTGTTACTCCCCTGTTAAAATACATGCAGTTCCTTGAAATTTGTCCATACCCATGCATCCTCAGTGAGAGCTGGCAAAACAAACACTATCCTTTTGAAGCTAAGACATCTTAACTCTCTTCACATCCCCCTCTCCCTCAAATTTTCAGAAGTAAAAATGAATATTTAAATAAACGAAGAAGAGAGAAAGAACGATAGATAAACACAGGTTTCGTCCAGTTCATCTGACAAGGGACGAGCGGGTAGAAAAGCCGTCATCCATGGGCTATCAGATGGTTATTGGCCCCAAACAAGATAGCCAGCAGTACAGTACCTATTCCCGTTAAGAGACAAATCCCTCAGTTTAACATTGGACCAACCGCAATCAACAGAGGGCATTTGGTCTAGTGGTATGATTCTCGCTTTGGGTGCGAGAGGTCCCGAGTTCGATTCTCGGAATGCCCCCAAGTGACCTAATTTTAAAAAATTTTCTAATTGGACAGATGCATCATATAGGAACAGCATGAGGATTAATCTTCAGCTATTTTTCATTCAGCATGGAAAGCAATTAAAAGGGTGTACGTTGCAAATCATCACACATTATAAACCAAAGAAAGCCGCATTATCCTTGTAACATATAAAGAATGCCATTTGTTTTAGGCTTGATTATGCAGTTGCAATAATGGAAGCCTGTGTTTTATGAACTTATGCGCTCCCCCCCCCCCCCCAAAGCCTCATTACGATTTAATTGCGGCGCTAATTCTAAATTATCAATGCATATACCTCTTAATTAACTTCTTACTTTTTTCCTTCAATTGGTAATCGTCCCCAACTTCCAAGGTCTACACTTAAAAATGCAGAAGTGAGAGCAAACGAATTACAAGAGTGCAATTGATATATATTGATGGTTCATCTCATACACCACTGTTACAAAACGAACATACAAAATCATAGAAAAGAAGGTTTCATTCTAATTAATTAACAGTGACTTTGCCCACCATACCAGCTCCCTGGTGAGGCGAACAGTAGAAAGTGTAGGTTCCCTTCTCTGTCAAGGTGACGCTGTAGGTCTCTCCGGGGCCGTTCAGAAGATCTTCTTCAGACATGGAGATCTTTGCAGCATCCACTCCTCCGGGAATCTCGTCCTCGTCGAACACCACGTTGTGGGGGAAACCAGCATTGTTCTTGAACACGATCTTCTCGCCGGAGCTCACTGAGAAATCTTTGGGAATGAAAGCCAGAGATCCGTCGTCACCACCCAGTAACACCTCAAGAGCCATGGCGTTGCTGGCTATCATGGCGGTTGCGGCGGTGGCAACAACGGCTGCTCCGACCTCCTTGAGGGAAGCCTTCACGCCGGAGCTCACCCTTGGGGATGGGGAAGCCATCACCTTCTGGGCTCCGTTAACTTTGGCGGCATTGGCCCTGAGACCACTGAATGATGGGACGGCGACGGCGGAGGAGGTGACGGTGGCCATTGCAGCGTCTTACTCGATATTTGCACAGGTTGTGACAGGGAAGTGAGGAAATATAAGAGTATGAATTGTGAATGAGGTGATGGAATGCTGTGCGGTTCAGATATGCGCAGAAATGTGTGGTTTGGATAATGGGACGCATGCCTATCCCACAAGGACTGCTCTGATTGGTCAGTTAGGATGTTATCCGCTGACGTGGCCTAGATATTTCTTCATCATTTGTGGATTATATCCAAAGCTCCCGCCACCCCAGTCGTGTGGCCCTGGATATCGCGTTTGCCCCTGGGATTTGAGAATCCTTTGTGCGTGGGTGATTTCTTTTTTGTTTTTGCATTTCCTTTTTGGGCTCCACTTATATTCTTCTGGTTTTCGGTTTTGTCTCTTTGTGTCATTAAACGCTGGCCCAAAATATTTTTTGGGGGGGGGAGATATCCTTGTTTCATTGAGCCAGCCCATTATTTCATACCGTAATTTTTCACTGAGAGAGAAAAAGGAAATTTTTTTGGTACAAAAGAGGGCTAAGCCCAAACTAGAAAACAAAAGCTAACTCAGGTGGGAATTTAATCCCAGAGCTCTTTCTTCACACGGGCCCTTGAAACCAATGGAAAAAAAGGAACCGGACTCGTCGGTTCAACCGGAAAACTGGTGAACCGGTCTGTGATTTAGTCTAGTTTAAATCCTAAACCGGACCAGAATCAAACCGGTTAAACCGATAAAAACCAGGTAACCTGCTGATCAAAGTGGGTTACTCGGTTTAATTTTTTTAATCTTTCACATCATAAAACGACGTCGTGTAATTTATTTTTTTTAAAAAAATAGTCGAAGTCGAATGAAAGCCTCTCCTCAACCATTCATTCAGTGTTCAATGTGTTCTCTTTCCCTCCCCAAATCTGAAATCCCTAACATCTTGGCGGCAGCCTCTCATCTTCAACATCAATCTTCACTTTATTGCCCCAGTCCTTCAATCGCTGGCTAGATATTTCTGCTCTGTCACTCGCAATCTTCAACCTTCAATCTTCACGGTTGCAACTCGCAGGTCGCCCGTTTTGTTCTTTAATCCTAGTCACAAGTCGTCGTATTCTTCACGGTCGTAGACTCAGATTCCACTTTCTCCTTCTACTTGTGAAATAGCAAATCATCTCTGTGATTTTGGCGCTTTCAGGTGCCATTTTTGTAAGATTCCAGCAACAAGTATATGTTCTCGCTCATGAGAGAGAAAAATAGGCTCTGTTCTATAGATATATGGATTAGGTGCAGAATAGACGTAGAGATAGGTTCGAATGAAGCAATAATTAAAGGAAAAGCCAACGAAGAAAATTCTAAGAGGTTTGCGCTGTTATCCTTCAACTGAACAAATTCTTCAAGCACAAAAGTATTAGACTAGTTAGCATATCAGTTAGTATGATATTTCTGATCTTTATTTTTATTTTTTTGAAACAGAGTGTTTGTAAAAACTTGTTGAAGAACTCAATAGAACTCTACTAATTTCATTTTCACAAACCCTTGAAAGTGCAATCCGATTGTGAAAATGGAGAAAACGAAAATTTCTGAATATTAAAGCTATTAAATTATATTATTTTAATATGACTGGTCTGACTACAGTCCAACCAGTAACCCTTGACTCACTGTCTCGACAGGTTTAATTCCTAATCCGATTTTTTGTTCCTTGCTTAAAACATCTGGACACACATCATAAACGGCTGATTTAGAAATTCCCATTTTTGCAAGGATATCCGCAGCTTCATTCCCACTTCTATGTACATAGCTCAACTTCACTTGCCAATGTTGAGTCAGCATATCCTGTATCTGCATAATCATCAATTTGTTACTGGGGATGGAGATTGTGGCTATGGATAGCTGTTGAATTGTTAAAAAGGATAAAAGAATCCCCTTTTGATTAGTTCTTTGTAGTTCTCTGGGCTCAGCGCTTTTTTGTATTAAAAACAAAAAAGGGATGGGTTGGGAAGCTGGAAAATCATTAAAAAAATGTCCATGAAAATTTGTTTAAAAAAAATTGTTTAGTTTATGAGAGATTAGGTTATCCGAGGAGCATGTGGATTTAGATCTGGGGTGCCCTGCCTCTGCCTACCGGGAAGGCTGTTGTTAGAATACGGACACAAATCAAATCTAAACCAGTAAAATCAGAACCACATAACCGAATTAATGAAGTATGTGTTGGATCGGAGTATTGAACTTTCAATTACTAGGAACCATATTCCAGAATATGACTTTTTTACTAATATACCGCAAACAGTAAAACATATTACCAAAATCCTATAAAGTGAAAATTATTTACCAGAATACTATACTTAAAATTGTCTATGCAAATAATGAGTTTAAGATTGTAAAGAAGTCATTCACGCCAGGATGAATTCTCTCTTTGCTACTCGTTCTATTGTCCTACCAAGTCTGACACATACATTATTTTGAATAAAAAAATAAACTTCATCACGTATAGATCGATTTTGCCTTCCTCTCTCCTCTCTCTTCTTTCCTGCCATCGGAATCAAATGGAATGCTTGAAAAATTGATGAGTATGGAATAGTTTGAAAAAAAAACATAGTGATGGCTATTTGGGGGAGAAAAAAATGATTGATAGAGTTAATGTACAAATTATGGGATACAACAAAATAGGCAAATCAAATATATACTCTGTTAATTCTTAATATAAGATCTATTTATCTAATTTAAATCGATTAAAGAAACTAAATTAATTACTTAATTGTGAAGATGTAAAAGTATTTTTTTCCCCCAAATGTAAGACTTTTATCTATCTTAATTCTCATATCATTTTTTCTAAATATAAGGTCTTTATAATTTTTTTTCTAAATATAAGATCTTTGTCTATCTTATCTCTCATATTTATAATTTTTTTCAAACTAAAACACTTTTATATTTTTTGATATAATATACTTTTCCCGTCCTGAATGTGAGACTTAGTCTAAGGGGAAATTTTGATCCTAAGTGTGAGTTATTTATCTATCTTATTTCTAATATTCATAATCAAGTAATTAATTTAGTTTCTTTAATTTATTTAAATTAGATAAATAGATTTTGCATTAAAAATTAACGGAGTGTATATTTGATTTGCCTATTTTGTTTTATCTCATAATTTGTACATTAACTCTATCAACCAATTTTTTCTCCCCAAATAGCCATCATTGTGTTTTTTTTCAAACTATTCCATACTCGTCAATTTTTTAAGCATTCCATTTGATTCCGGTGGCAGGAAAGAAGAGAGAGGAAGAGGAAGGCAAAATCGATCTATACATGACGAAGTTTACTTTTTTATTCAGAATAATATATGTGTCAGATTTGCTATGACAATGGGACAAATAGCAAAACAAAAATTAATCTTGACGTGAATGACTTCCTTACAATTCTTTGCATGAATGATTTTAAGTATGGTATTCTGGTAAATAATTTTCACATTTTAGTAACATGTTTTACTGTTCAATATCGTTGGATCTTGACTCAGTTATTGTTAAATGGAAGAACGGGCAGAAAATCATTGGTCTGACAGGGATGCACGAGATAAACAACGAAACTAGGAAAACAAGATGGGTTTTTGACTAAATTCACTGAATACGCCACAAACATGGAGTCCGCGTAAGAGCTGAGCTTAAAACGTCAACTTGAATACTAAACAAACTTTTATATCAAACGCTAAAATCACAGGAGGTGTGATTGAGTGGTTGAGACTCATTTTCCCTTAACCAAGTGTCAAGGATTTGATCTACGTATTAGATATGAAAAAGCTTTAAAACCTCAAGCTAACTGTTCCACCCTTCCAGGTACTTACAAGTCAGTGAAGGGATCAGTTATCGGATCCGCCAGTAAATACCTTGATGTTTTCATTAAAAAAAAAAAGTATATATTACCTCCGGTACTTCATATCAAGGATCAAGCGCATTAAATGTTTAACTATATCTAATGTGAGATTTTCTATGTCAATTCAAGCTGTGAATGTCCATAGATATTAAGCAATCAAATAAATAACAGGGTGAATTCAGTGTTACAACTGTAACTCGAATATTGGAACAAGAATGTTAGCGGGAAGGAGGATAAAGTCAAAGAATGGAGTCATTGGAAGGGGAACAGAGAATATACAGCCACATGATCATCAGAGAATATTGGAAGTCATCATTTGAAGTTTGAAAAGCAGGGTGCTAAAAGCTGTGACACAGCATACCCTGCCCTTCACCCACAGGACCAAACACGGTTCTCGGTGCTTATCTGTGTCAAACACCTTGTCCCTTTCTTCCTCAGAGAATCACCCGACTTTGCATCATTTGCTCATTCCCCCCACACACACACACACACACACACACACACACACATATATCCTTCACCTCTTCCTAAGATAATTTGCCTACCTCCACCTAATCATTCTTTTCATAATCCATCTTCTCAGCTCAGTGCTCATTAATTAATTACTTGTAGGGTTAAGAAGCAAGATCCAATGTACGTGCATGGGATGCATTGTCCCGTGGTTGTTCAAGGTTATTATTCCAGTCTTGTCTTTCTGCCGTAACACAAACCCAAATTGAACACTAAACACGGGTACAAAACAAACTTGAATTTGGGGTCTGCGGTTTCTGGCTTTTTGGAAAGATCTCAGGGTTTGGCAAGTCAAAGAGAAAGCTGAGAGAAGAATCAAAAGAATTGCCAGTAAGTCAATATCGAAGCAAGTAACTGCAAACTGATGATATTCTTCTTCTCTTTTATCACTGCTGCTTAGCTGTGTTTTATAACATTGGAATTATTGAAATACACTGCACATCTGCTTTCACTACGTCCCAAATCATCTTGGCTCTCGCAATAATTGAACCACACAACTGCACCTGGTGTGTACGTACTCCATTAAACACGACAATGCAGGGGCCCGTACCTTGGGGAGTGATGTAAAGGCTTTTTTGCCATTGAAAATAATTGCTTCCCCATCACTTCACTGCAACACAACAACTACAGATCAGCAATTTTCTGCATCAGAGACCTTCAAAAATTCGGCTGAAGGGACATTGCTGCAGCGCAAATGGCGAACTTAGTGTCATCACTCAGACAATATGAGACCTTCGGCTGGTTGTTTAATTAACAAGTTTTCTGGTAATTTCATACTAACCAAAGAGCAAGCAGGCGTGTCAACTAATTTAAGTATGATATATTTCACGCTTAACGAATTTCATTGGTCGCAGAACTTAGATTTGAGTTTGGAAATGATTTATCAAGCAACTAGCAGGCAAGGTGGTCACAAAACTTAGTTGGGTTGGTTGGCATAGGGTAGGCATCAGAATGCAGGGAATAGAGAAAAGATTGATGGATGGGATGGGAGTGGGAGCCGCGATTTCATCAACAGCGAGGCCACAAATATTCTGTAGGATTTAAATCATAAGCTGATTAACAAGAAGACACAGATGCTTTTGACTGACTGCTAGTTTTAAAGATAAGGTCGGTAGTAGATTTTTCGGTCTACTTTACCGCTCAGTTTTGTCATAAATAGAAATGACAGCGAGATGATCCTCGCCATAAGAGGAATTTAGCTGATCACTGGGATAAATGTATAAACCTATTTCAAATCTTTAGATTTTAATGTAAAAATCAAATAACTAATTCAGTAATATTAGAAAAATTAGATAAGTAATTATTAATGACTTAAAATAAGAGTAAATATTCTTATTAATTAATTAGTGCAAATCCACATAATTATTAAATTTAACAAATCCCTTTTGTGCTTCCAAACCTGGCGACTCAGTAATAATGAATCCATGCCATCCAAAATCTTCTTTGAGCCCTGCTTCCTCACTGTTGACAGCATCGATCTGATTAAAATACTCATTCTTAGGAGTGCATAGAGTGACTGTTCACAACATAACATGACGTGGTTGTTATATATTTTATATATATGAACTATTAATCCATCGATGGCTTCCATGACCCACCTCCTCTTATCTCTCATCATCTGAAACAGGAACACCCATATATATACACACCACAGCTTGCCACTGCCATGTTGCATTATGAGTTGCAATTATCGAGTGGGTTTAACAAAGGGATGGCTCACAGAGTTTCTTGGCATTCTGTCCACCTCCCTTGATTTCGATCGTTCAATATACAGGGAGGGAGGTGGCCATACTGCCAACGGAGCTCTGTTAGCTTCTCTTCGTAAAACCCTCCCTCATATATCATCTCATGTCTGCGCCATGCCTTTCGCTGCTTCCAAATACTTATAAGCTTGTTGCAGTCGCTTGAGTTCAGAAAATATGTTTGTGTATGTGTAGCTGCGCCTGCGCTTTGCTCTTCAAAACTCGACCTCCTTCCTCTTTATTTATGTATCTATATACATATGGTCGGGTATTATCATTTCTTATCAGTTTCGTTAGTTAAGGGGACACAAGGCAATGCGTATGCCTATCTCTAACTGTATTATTTGCTTTGATTTTTTCCCCCCTATGTAGTGTTGCGGGCTTCCAGAAGAGATTGGACCACACACCCAGGTTGGTGTTGAACTGTCTTGACATTTATCAACCACTTATAATGCATTACATCCTCATTAAACAATTTCAGTGCTTCCTGCACCACCACCGCCACGACGCAACTTCTTGACTGTTATATTACCTGAAAATTCCTGTTATGATTCTACAAACGACGGCCCTAATATGTGTGTGTGTGTGTGTGTGTGTGTGTGTGTGTGTGTGTCGTGATCACTGCACTCTCCTCTGCAGATCAATGTATTTTGGTCTGAATCAGTTGGATGGCGCATAGAGACGCCTAAAAATTGCATTCTGGGGCCAAAGCGTCAGTTCATTAACCTGGTTTGCCATCCAAGTGCTCAACACTGTTAAAACATTTTGTTCAATGGAAGAGGTTTTGAATATGTGGGTTAAAGGGGGAGACTTAACTATGAAACTGAAACTTGAAAACCTTTCTACAAGCCGAATAACGCCATATAATTAGCAAGGTAACGTTTTCCTGTTGTAGGCGTATGATTTGACGCAACGATGGCTTTCTATGAGAACATAGACAAATGGTTGACTCAGGTCAGGATACGTAAAAAGAAGTTAAGACTGATGACTTGAAAGTATGTTCGAGGCAAAAGCATACGAGAAATCATGAGCAAAGTGAAAAGCCCGTAGCTCCGTTCTGAGAGTGAAAGGGGAGCCCAGATATATACAAAGATTGTCAAGTGAAGTAGTTTTAAAACTTTCAAGACCATATCCCATTCTAAATCACGTGTTTTTAATTTTTTCTTGCCAGTTTTAAAGCTGAAGGTCCTTATTCTGAGAGAGATTAATCTTCAACCCCTGCCCCACCTTGCTTCATCTGTATTGGCACTGTACACACTACACAGTAGTCCACCCTTCATTCTAGGCTTAGGCCACTGCTGCTTTTTTTCACTTCTGGAAGCCTGACGATCCAATTCTGAACGACCCAAGCAATCTCACATAACAGGGAAACTTATGACAGGCGTCTATAGGTGAGGCTATGTATATTACGCCAAGAAAGGAATTAAAATCTGATGAATGATGTTGTAAATTAAATGTTCATCCACAAACTTATCCAAAACGTCCTGATACACCACCACGTTTTTGTTTCCAAAATAGTATATCTTAATAAAGAATTACAATGCGTAAAAATACCAGATTTGTGCTTACTTAACTCCACACCTATGGAGTGAGGCAAAAAAATAGTACATAAGGAAGGAAGGAAGGAAAATTGACAAGCACGCACCAACATCTTAATTTACTCTATAGTAAAACTTTTCACGCGGGCACCGACATTCACTCTTTTGTTTTTTCTCTGTGGGGAAGAATGAGACCTCGAGCTGAGGTCAAAGTCAAAGAAAGAGGGCGGTAATCATACAAGTTCATCATTACAGAGAAGGGGAAATCACCAAAATGCAAAAGCACCCGGCTGTTAAAATCAGAAGCAAACAAATAAATAACTAGTGGTGAAGCAGGCAAGCAGTCTGCCCATAATGGTTTAGTTGATCATCATCGTTTATCAAAGAGGTCGAGTGTGCCTTCCACTTGCCCTGCCACACAGACGTGTGTTCTTAGGAATAGGGAACTCGTCTCGGATGGAAGTCGAGGCTGTGTACACCCTTAAATAAAACTGTTGTCCCAGGTACTGTCTCGCCCAGAACTCCGACCTCAAGTTCCACATCCCCACGTTGTCCAGCGCCACATATATCGCCGTCCACGAATTGGGATATACCTGTCTCATCCGCCCCAAATCAATCATCACATTATTTATGAGAAATCACTAAAGCATCTATAATTTGGATCCTACTATATTTACCTGAGTGGTACAACGTGAAACTGCATCTCGAAGATTATACTGGTTTCTGCTTGAAGGTCTCCACTCTCCTCCATCCATTCTGCAGCAAACACCACATATTCAATTTACAATGTCGATCAAAGTACGTGTGTGTGTAGATATGTGAGAGTTAGTTGGATTCCCACCCAACCACAAAGAAGGAGTAGCCATTGAGATGATAGCTCTGAACAATGTTCTCGTTGTTTTGGAACACAATCTCAACGAAGGCTCTGTAGTCTACTTGCATCACAGATGTGTCGAGGTATATGCCACCGCCAGTGGGCTTATCAGATATGCTTCCCGGACGGAATACCCCCGAGATTTTGAAGTAGTCGGCGAGCTTCAGAGGGGTGTCCGGCGCAACATACGAGACGCTGTTAATGGCGTATCTTTGCTTGCCGTTTACTTGACCGGCTGAGCTCTGCAGGATGATGGTTCTGGTGGTGTTGATGAGGCCGTAATGGTAGGAGCCCTGAGGGTTGGGCCTGGGCCCACTGGCGGTCAGGTTGGTCCTGATGGCGCGGGCCTGGTTCAAGGACCAGTCAACCTGGATGGTGGGCCCACCGGGGATTGGGCCAGTTACGGTCCCAGCGGAGTTGCTGTAGTGGAGGACTCCGGTGGTGGTGAGGACCTTGGAGGTGAAGCGAGAGGAGACGACGATGTAATAGTCGCGAGGAGACTGGTCGGCGGTGACCAAGACGGAATAAGATTGACCGACGTGAACGTCCAGAGAGGAGAAGGTGGTTTGAAGAGTGTGTGTTCCTTCGACTTCGACCAGCTTCATTTTGTGGTTCTGGATTCGAAAGTTGAGCGAATGTTGCAGGCCCACATTGGAGATTCTAAGCCGGTAAGTTTTTCCTGTCGGCACAAAATAATGTATATATTTCACATGGATTCTTCATACATTTTTTTTTTTGGACTGAAGGAGTGTTCATACATTGAATAGCTTAAAATTATAATTATAATAATAATAATAGTACAAAACAATATATTCAGTGAAAATGCTGCACAGAGACAGTACCTTGTTCGACGTTAAAAGACGCTCCGCCGTTAGTTCCCCTCCCATTGATGAGGATTCCGTGAGGGAACGGCAGCTTCTTCCCGCGATCTAAATGCGCTTTCAAGTTCTGTTCATATACACAAAGAAAACTGAAAATTCACACACACCGTATCGGTTATTCATTGACTTACTTATTTTTGGATAATGTAGATCTTAACACTCCATCTATTCTTTGTTTTAAGGACCTAGGAAGCTTCAATATGTTTGATAGGATGATATGTTGTCTTTTTTTTTTTTAACCAGTGTATGATATGTTTTGTCTAAAATATTATATTTTTCTACTTAATATCCCTAGCTAATTATGTAAAATCGCATAAACTATCACCAAACTATTTTACTCGTATTGAGAGTTAATTTGACGTTGGCCCAAAAAAAAACAGAGTGATTTGGAGATTTTACAAGAATAAGTAATATTAATTAATTTTTAATTTATATAGAATTATCACTAGGTGTTTATTATAGAATCGGAAGGAGTTTTTGGTATTTTAGCACGGGAAAGTTTTCAATTTTCAAGACTTGAATCCTATTTGGGAGGGAAACCACAGGCACAGGGGATTAGATTAAATAAAAGAAAATGTGATTGCAATCTGTGAATGATTGTCTAATAGTTGGCACCCAACAAGCAACAAAACAAGAGGGATTGTATCACATGACATTTCCAGTACTTCCGTAAAATTATGTCATCCATCCTTGCTGTCAATAATCAATGTGGGGAAGAAAGAAGTGGGGGAGTTTGTTGGAGAACGAGATTCACGGGACTCTAATGAAAATAAATAAAGTTTGAATATTTATGTTCATGTGGAAAGACTCCTATGCTCTGGTTGGATGCGAAAAAAGCTGAGAGGAAAAAAAATAAAAAGAGGGAAGACAGAGAAAAGAAAAAATTGGAAGAAAGTTGTGATTATCCCTTTTATTTGGATGGATAAGAGAAAATAAGGAGAAAAGAAAATTAACATATATTTAAATGACTAAAATATCCTTATCAAAATATATCATATTTACAATTAAGTTAAATTAAATTAAATATTACAATAGAAAAATTATACTAACATTAGCATCATCAAATAATTTAAAATCAAGTTATTTGGTTTGTATATATTTTCATATTATTATATTTTAAAATCAAATGATTTAATAAAATATTGTTTTAAGATAAAAAAAAAGTGAATAACTTTTTAAATATAATAAAAGAAAATAAATATGAAAAGAAAGAGAGATGAGAAGCAGTCATGAAAGTCTTGTTTTCCTTCCCAAATCTCTCTATATATAGAAAGAAAATTTGAAGAGAAAATAAGGCATGAGATCCATCTTATTTTCTCCTCTCCTTTTCTTTCCTCCCACATTTTCTCTCCCATCCAAGCAAAAGAAAATTTGTTTCTCCTCATATTTTTCTCTCTCTGATATTCTCTCAAGTTAGAGTTAGAACAAGTTTAAAAATAATTGTTCAACTTGAACAGGGTAATCACTTTTTGCTGTCATGAACTCCTTTATAATTTTCCCATAATCATTATATGCTTCTCCCGGGTGGCGTGTTGTGACAATTTGTACTCATTCTGCCGACACACATAAGCCACTCTTTATGCCAATCCATTGCAGTCAACAGTCACTCTCACTCTCCCCCATGCATTTCACTCAGTCCATCCTACTCAAGAATTAAAGCACGTTCCCTAATTACACCTTATTTAAGTTAAAGTCATTTAAATCGTGTTTACAGCTAAGAGTAATTCCGAGAAAAGGAAATGAAGGGAAGAATACGTACGGTGTGGTTGGATTTGTACCAGTCGCCGATGAGGACGGTGTAGTCGCCGGCTGGTTCAGGGAAGGGGACTGGAATCCTTGGCCTGCTCAGAATCCTGATGCCTCCGAAACCACCGGCGGCTTTGTGAAAGGCAAGCGATGGGAAGTAGTAGAAGCTCCCAATCTGATCCTTCACTTGCAGAATGAATGTGAAGTTCTTCCCTTTTGGGATCGGACATGTCGTCCCCTCCACACCATCCTCGAACGAGTTCCTCCTGTTTTGAACCCCATTCCTGTTTTTCCCATTATTCTTGCATTAATCTCCCCCAAATTCACATTCAATTTAATCCTAACTCCTTTTTCCTCATAATAGTGCCTATTTAGTGGAGGTATTGTAATACTATACAAACAAGTCTTAAAATTTGCAAGTGGAAATACGTCAAATCATGCCCTATCATTCCCGGCAGTAACTTGCAAGAGACCAATCAGCAACAAAACAGAACATTCGTATTTGGACATAAAACTACAGGGACAGAGTTATTTAATAATTAGGATCTATGAGGCCAGATCCAGATCGATCCGTGTTCACACATTGGATGTCTAAGTATTGTGATTAGTCGTAATCACGCGACTAGACCAACATTTGAAATGAATTGAGAGGGAAACAAGAACCTATAACACAAGTCTCTGACGTACATTCTGCTCAATACGAATCTAGGCCACTTATTGCAAAATGATATAAATGGATCAGGATTCAGGAATCACATAATAGTTTGGGTTTATGTCTATTTGGAAGTGAGAGTTATGACTAAAAGCATGAAGGAGATCAGAAGAACAGGAAAAAGCGTACCAGGAGAGAAGAAAAGGTTCGTCCAAGTTGTTGAAGACATTGACAATGAGATTGTCATTAGTGACAGAGTGAATATCTGGACCCGGGAACTGTCCGTTGATGAGTATCCCCTGCAACAAATAACCACATACCGTGTCAAATGGATCAAGCAAAAGCGAAACTCCAGATAGAGAGGCGTATATATAAATTAGTATGTACCCTCTGACGAACACCAAGAGGATAGATGTCACCGTAAGTAACATTCCAGTTGAAGAATCTGTAGGGATCTTCCGCCGCCGTAATGGCGATCAGAAACAAGAGCACGACCCCGACGCCACCTCTTGCCGCCATAGCGGATGCCATTCTCTCTCTCTATGGCGTGTTTGCTTGCCGTAGATAGTGAACACGAGAGTCTAATAAAGGCGAAGGTAAATGATTAGGGAATAGGGACGGCACACTTCACACAGCACTAGTGACGCATAAGGCGGTGAAGACTGAGTACAAAAGCAGAATAGTTTTTTTCCTCTGGGGGAAGAAATAGGTGTCGGTGGTGGGCTCCTCCATATCAACCTTTATTTTTCTCTCTGTCTCTCTCACATGGCTTAATTCGTTTTCGCGCTTTCATGCTCATCCCTCTCACTGTACCTGTGGGGAAGTGCTAGCTAATTGTGTGTGTTTAAAGTTTAGCATCTCCCGTCTAATAACCCCACATCTATAATATAAACTTGGCTTTACTCTTTTTGCTGCACGCCTACACAAACTGTATGGAACCACCTGAGATTTAACAAGAGGTATGTTCAATGATGAAGGAAGCTCGCTTCATCCGTTTAAAACTTGCAAGGGTCGTGACTATAGCTAATTGGTTGTGCTCATCAATCAATATAGTGAATACTTAGCAGCTTGGAAGCAATAATAATAATAATAATGAAGTTGAAATGGGGAAGGGGTGGCTGGGGTGGTAAATGATGAGTAAAGGAATTAAATATGATAGGTATAGTTTTAAATTATGAATAAGAGAAGACTTAGGGGGGCATTCGTGAGTGTGTTGATCTGACTTAGAAATGCAGAGTGCGCACATGAATGAGCGGGGGATTTTGTCAGAGAAAAGAGTAGTGTGGCACTAGGCACATGGATTCAACAATCAACAACTGTGGCCCTCCTTCCCTATGTACGGGATTTCGTCCATTCTACTCTCACGTGCATATCATTACAAACCATGCTTATCTTCCCCCACCCCTGCTTTTATATTAATTATTCATACTATGTAGTAACCGGATCTATTTCTGAACCCACCCGAATAATTATTTGTTTTTCGTAAAACCAGTGGCCAGTGGCGACCTCCCCAGTTGCGACCAAGGGAAACCATAATGCAGAGCAGCTAGATTCAAATGCAGAAACAATTCTGTTTTATCCTTTTTGTTTTTTTAAAATAAACCAGAAACAAACAAAGTTAAAACACCTAAAGAAAAACACATACACGCAGAGAACTAGCCAATGGCTGGAGCCTGGAGAGAAACATGGAGGCCTATTAACATCTCATTCTCGTCTTCGACCATCAATCTGAGAAGCTTGGGCGTGGGAAGTCCTTTTACTATTATTACTGGACACAGGAACAGAAATATTGTTTAAATCGGTTAATACGAGCACTATATTCTTTTCTCTTTTTTTCCCCTCCGACCATGGGCCGATATCCTGTGGCAGTGCTATGAAATCATTTGATTCATGCCGCAGGTATGCAACTCACGTCACATGTCAATGATCTTAACTGTTCAGTAGGAATTATATAGAGCAATTCATCCATTATTAAACATTCAGAAGACGAACCAACCGTTAATAATATCTTCCACAATAAAAGCAATTATTTTTTAATTCGTTGCCCGGTTATAAAAAGGTTGTAATGGTCGCAACTTACCACCAAGGTCTCCGTTAGACACACAACTGCATAGACTAAGACGTGGCTTGGGGGGGGGTGCGTGTCTTCTTTAAAAAAAAAAAAAAGGCATGCAATACGACGTTGACTTTGAGACTTTATTCGATGCTAAACAGAGAAAGTTGTCATTCTGAGCAGCATCATATTTTGTCATCTTCACATGAATTGAACGGTATGTGTCATTATCGCATTCTGTGCAAAGCATCGGATCTGATCAGAACACATCCAGCGGCATAAAAGGATAGACTAAGCTTAAGGTTCCGTTTGGAATGAGAAAAAATAAAAAAATTTTAAAAAAGCTTTTAATTTATTATTTTTTATATTACTTCTCTTTATTAAAATTTTAAAATCCCACTTCTTTAATTTTTTAAATGAAGTTTGTTAAAATTTTCTTTCCCCTTCCCACCCTTCTATTTCCTTCATGCCAAACATACCTAAGGCTTTACATATCCATTCAAGCCTCCCCCTTTCTTTTTCGAGCCTCTGTGAATTGACTGCCCCTGCATCGTCCGCGAATTATACGACATCATAAACCTCGGACGATTTTAAATTAAATTCAGAATAAACTGATCGCCAGTTAGAATAAGACAAAAAGTTAGCAAGGGAAAATATTTGACAAGTGCCAAAAGGATTGTTAAAATAATTTTGAATATTAAAAATACATGTGCCATGGGCACATGACGCTCATATCATACGGGCAAGTCCGTTCTAAAATGTACCATCGAACATAAAGTCAACAAAAAGGAGTCGCACGAACATACTCTGCCATCTTTTTTTGGGGATAACTTCCATATTTTTTAATATTGAATACCAATATACTTGTATCTTTAATTTGTACGAACGCTCGACAATATTTGGAGGCCTATGTAAGATCCAATTTCTATTACACGCCGAATCATCATCTCCTATTCAGCATCCGCCAGATATCAGACTATGAAGATGGATTTTCAACGTCACGTATTTTTGAATCCCCAGCCCAAAGTGATCTTAGTTACGCTCATCAGAACATTCCTCCTCTAATGTCTTCCCAATAAGCGATTGTGGAGGCTTGTTGTGTTTGGATAGAAACCAAACCATGGTTTCAGAAGTTTTACGGATTACGAAGTAAATATGTGGAGGAGGTTATCTCGTTTTACGGAAAAGTGATTCTGAAACCTTGATTTTGATTTTGCCAAACACCCTCTTAATTCGATTTGCCACGCGGGGGAAGACTGGGAATGGAAGGGATCACAGGTTGAGTCCAATTGCCGGCCCAACTGTAACCCATATCAGCATCAGGATTTTAAAAGTAGCTCCAGGACGATGTGGACTAATAACACAACCAGCATATAAACAACTTTCTTAAGTTACGAGTCCCATTTTTAACAGCTTGCACCAGCTTTTACAACTGAAATAATGAGCTCAGATTCCTAGCGAAGTAGTAAATCAATGTTACAGGCTCTATAGGCCAAAAACTTCATAAAACTGCAAAACGAGGAAAAGCTTCCCTCCCTCCCACCAAGCCCCCATCTCACCCTGCTTGCAGTATGAATCAGACTCCAAATATACGAAGATAACACCCTTCCAGTTTTGGGTGGCTCAATTCAATCAAACTAACATTTTTATACTGACGAAAGAAACCATCATTGCATAGCTAGAATTACAAAGCTCAAGGGTAAAGAATTTTAAGACAGCTTAGGAAGGAGGAGTTAATTCCACAAATTCATAACAGATCCAAATTAACGTATGGGCCAAAAAAATCCAAATCAGCATGATATATGATTATTAGACAAAATCATGCATCAAAACTTCAGATTTATCAAACGAAAATCAAAAGCTAAACACTAAGAAGAACAGAACACTGGAATCTATCTTTCAACGTGATGAGAAGCATTGCTTAGCAACCAATTTCCAAATTATTCAAAACAGTCAGATAGAAAAACAGAAAGCAGGCACCTCAGCTTCAAGTACTAACAAGTTTTATCGTATATCAGAAAATCCAAATCCCAAAATTCAATTTCTATGAGTTAAGAGTGAAAACAATATGGTGAAGTCTAAATTTTGTTATTTTCATAGAATACAAATCCAAAAGGGTTTTAAATTTTTTTCATAGACATGATTCGAAGGCAGAGTGATCCAAATCCCGTAGGAATTCTTAGAATGCCAAGGAACCAGGATACATAATGCTGAAGCCCTCTTCGACAGGGACAATAGATGATCGTCCAAGGGTTAAAACCTAGTCGAATCGAGCTTGGGTAATCACGCTTAAACAACCAGAACTTCGTCACTTAGACGATAATTATCCCAAGAGCTAGGCATCAGAGAAAACCAGATAGTATTTTTTTGGGGGGAAAAATAGAAATTTATAACTGATTTGGTCATTGGAAATAAGGAGGTCAGTGAATTCTAATCAACTTCACATAGCAAAAGAACAGTGAATCAGGGGGCAGAGGGTTTCTGAATGTCAATGGACTTCACTTCGTTGATTCGTAACGCATGAAAACATAGCCCATACTCAGATTGAAGTCGAAGTGTGATAATACGTAAGAAAAATTTGAAACCTGTATCCTATGATTAATCTTCTTCGTCGAAAAGAAGACGAAGGCGAGAAGCAAAGAGGCCGGTAGAGTCAAGGGAAGCTTCGTGAAGTAGTGCACTCTTAATGTTTTTCCTGCGCTCGGAGAGTGACTCTTGCTCCTCCTTAAGCTTATGAGTATCCTCCTGGAGATCATGGATCCGGTACTTTTGCCCCAAAGATCTGCAGCTCAGAAGAAAAATTCCCGTCATGGCCGCCAATTGAATGAAGCTGTGCTTGTGTTTCTTCGCGTTGTTTATGAACCCTGAAATTATCTTAAATTTCCGATTGGCGTCGGCGCCGCCCGAGCTCTGTGAAGTCGACGAATAACCCATGGAGAAGTTGGATCACGCGCGCTTCGATCGCCCCGTTAATCCGCAGGAGATAGCAGCGAGCGGGTTATAAGCCCTGGGTGAAAAGTGAAAACGCCCCCGACCAATGAAATGAAGAGAACTAATTCAACAACGGATTTTGTTTTAATGCAAGAAGCCTTTTATTTAAATTGACACAAAAATAATTAATAAATAAACAACGGACTCAAATTTTCTATTGTTATATAGGTTCTGTTTTAATAGCACTAAGAAACACTTATAAACATATTTTATGTATATCGAGACAGAATTCTTATCATTTACATATTTTATATTCTGTAAATTATAATTAAAAAACTATTTATAAATTATTTTAAACAGATTTTTAATTGATAGGTAAGAAAGTGCCTCTACAAAATTCTAGAGACAAGTGATACATAAGAAATGTAACGAATGACCCCATCATAAAATTAAAAATAACTGCATATTTGTAAACGCACAATGGCGATCTAGATCTTTACGGCACAACCTCTTTGGTGTCATTTTTGTAACAGTGAACTTTAGCCTTCTTTTATCATTTTTTTTTCATTTAAAAGGACGTACGTACGAACGAATCCCAGGATCAAATATTACAAAGCCATTGGCCCTTCTTTTATCGTCGGATTTATATTGGGTGCTCATCAGTTTTGATGAGCACCCAATGTTTATCAGATCTGAACCGTCCAGATCTAATCTCGACGGTCCAGATTTTTTTTTTTTAAAAATAATTATTTTAATAAGTATAGGATAAAAAATAAAGATAATTTCTTAACTATCATTCTTTAAAAATATAATTTTTTTATTTTAAAATAATTATTTAATAATATTAAATTCGAACCGTCCAAATCTAATGTGGACAGTCCAGATTGCTCATTAAGTGATGAATACCGAATGGGGACCCGTCTTGTAACATGAGAAATCACTCAATGCTTATGCACTTCTGAGGATGATGGAGGACCATGGTATAAAAAGAAGAGGATGGAGCTATAATCTATTTCCGTACAACTGCAAATGCCCTTGATGCTCCAGTGAAGTATTGTGTGGCTGAGACAATAGTTTCCTTGGACGATCCGAAGTGTCTCAGTCTGTATACTCCAGAAACAACATCATTGGGTATTTCCCATTCTATTGTTGCTAAGCCATTTAAATGAAAGGAGCTACTATCCAATTTCCACTTGAAAAACAAGCTTAAGTCATCGTCATCATAAACACTAATCCACCTTTCTCCTTCCAGTCTTTCTACAGCTGAAAACGTGCCTTCTGTTAATAAATCGTTCCTTGGATTCCCACTCCAGAAAGTGGCACTGACTCTTTCTCCTTTTGTAAAATAGCCTCTACCAGGAAGGGCCCTGTCTTCCTTAATATCACCAAATCTTGTCTTGTCGGGTATTGAATCTCCCAAAGGTCCAGGTAAGAGACTGATTTGTACAGATGAAAGATCTGGTGGTGAGGGACCTGGTCCTGTGATTCTCTCCCCTTTTGCCATTGCTTGTGCTAGTTTCTTAAATTCCTGGATGTATGCTGATAATGTATGAGGTCCATATAACGTTGAAGCAGCCTGCAAACTTCACTCGTTAATTATGGACTCACATACAAGTCACATGTATCTTCCTCGTAGCTCATTGAAGTTACCTCGTAACGTTGCTGCTCATATTCTTCAAAAGTTGCAATATACTGGGAATAAGTATTAGTGAGGCCTGCAATAACTACGTGTGTTTCATTATTAAACTCGCCGTTTCCGTTGCTTATTAATGTTTCCAAGACTGCCTCCCTCAGCCGTCTGCCCGACATTGTTGTGAACTCTGCAGTACTCAAAACTCAACATTAACAACTCATGTTCAAGTCCTGTTCTTTGGCTAGGCATACAAGCTGATCTGTCAATTTCAAAATTTTACTTTCAAATTTCAATGAGAACATAATTGAACAAAGCAAACCTCCTGGTACTGACAAAATGATCAGTTTCCCCAGCCTTAGAATTTGGATTGGAAGAATTGCTGGCTGCACAAGCACATATTTATATGGCCAGCAATACTGATTAGTAACTTAATCCTTTCGTGTTATTGCTTTAACTGACAGATAGGTGTTGGCCTTACCGCCCATGCATAAGGATCAAACATCTCACCCGCGCTCATCAAAACTGGCTTTGGCTTTTGGCATTCCACTTGGTACTGGCTTGGCTGCATTTTTAGCACATCTCTCAAGTTCTTCCAAAGAGGATTAATCTGCAGAGACGGATGGTTGTTAATAGATATCCAAATAATAATGGGTTCATTCTCAGATATGGTAATGGAAGGTCTTGAATCAGATATGGTAATGGAATCACAACTTGGACGCAAAATGAGAAATAAGGACCATGGGTTTACCTCAGTGTCACCTTGTTGAAATCCAAATACACCAGGGCCATCGGTTGTGCCAGCAGCAAAACCAGCACCCACAGCGGCAGGACAAGTTTTAACAACCTTGTTGCCTTCCAGCTCAACTTCAATATTCGTGAAGTTGAGATACACATGACGATAATCAATGTCCCCACTCAATTTCTCTGATGCAGAAGTAAAGAGATCCACTGCAGTTTTAAGCTGCCTCTCACCTATGATCTTCGTGCTTAATATTTCATCAGGGTAACTGTTTGTTTTGGATAAAACAATTAAACAAATTGTGAGCACGTGTATATATCATCCAATGTATTCCACAAACAAGCATGAAAATGAAGTGGGTGTTATAAGTGAGTACCCTGGTCCTCTGCCAACACAAAGCTGGTCATTGCCATGGCATGAAGAGCGATTAAAGTCGCAAGGTTGTCCACTATCAATGCAAAATGCACCAAGCACATTTGGTGTCACATCTCCAACATTTGATTGGCAAAATGCTCCCACAAATAAATCTCCTTCCTTCTTCCTCACTTTGGACGCTTGACTACTTTGCTTCTCACAAGCCTTTCCTCCAGTCGCTTTAATTGTTTTTGCTTTCTCCACCAACTTCTCAATATCTATATCACATGCGCGTTGCCCAGAAGAATTAAAGTTGATAATTTAGCAGAAACAGAGTAGTGGATGAAGCTGAACATACCAGTTGGTGAAGTAGAGTTGGTGTTGGAGGAAGAAGATGAAGAAGCAAACCAATCTTCAAAGAGCCTAGAAGCTGCACCCTTGTTGTCTCCGCTTATGAGCTTGTTGTTTCTGCTCATAGAAGTGCCGTGAGTGGCAAACCAGTTGAACATTCCAACACTTTTTCCGGTTGAAGCATCAACGAACTTGAGTAGTGTCATTTCCGCATCAACATTGGAAGAATACCGAGCTCTCTCCTCTGCTGGGTTTAACAGATACGAGCTCGGGCTCCTATTAATTCCCGCGTCCTTCACCTCTCCTGCACCAAACCCATCATACAACCTAACCTAAAACCACAAGCTTTGAACTGTGTGCGTCTAACACACACACACACACACACACACATAATGCGCACCTTTGTTGATAAAGATAGAACCAGGCTTGACGTTATTGTGCGCCTGAATAATGCTCTGTTCTATTGCGTTCACAATGACATCAAAGGATTGTCGTACAAATCCCAAGGAGGTTGCTGAGTAAAGAAGGTATTGGAGATAACCGCCAGGTCCAGCGTGTGAATGAATTCCGCTAATAGCTACGTTTTCTTGGGTATACAAATTTCCGAACCTAAGACGACAAACAAGATTAGATAGACATGCATATATATGAATGAATTAGTCATGACCACGGAAAAAAAAAAAAGGATGGATTAATGGCTTGGGTTGGTTGAGACTATTGTACCTTGACTTGAGTCTTTCAAGCACTTTAATAGTGATGAGCTGAGATGCCATACAGGCATCAAGATTGACAAAAACAAACCTGGGACCTTGATTCTGATGAGCGACGATGAAAGTTCTGGCTCTTAGTCGGAAATGAATACCAGCCGAGTTCTGGTCCAGATTGCCGTACCCCATCATGTTGACGTCGGCCGCCGGACCAGTCATGTCATAGCTTCCAACTCCGATTAAGAACTCACCAACATCACCGTCTATGCCTCGTATCCAATTCCAGGCACATACTAACACTAAAGCAATAAGTAGTGCCTTCGGTTGCATTTTTTGTCGCTCTTTCCCTCTTGCATTCCTTCAAGTCTCGTTATATATGCATGGTGTGATCAGAATTTCTTGGATTCTGATGAAGTTTTCTTGAACATCCAATGCTTTTTCTTGCTCGTTTTCCTTAGGTTACAGCGTATCCATGTAGCAAAGCGACAGACTAGGTATTCTTCTGTTTGTCTGTAGCCCCTGTAAATGCATGTACTCAGCCGCCATATGGGCCTTTTGTTCAATTCCACTAACCAACAAAAAAAAAAATTTACGTGGTTTATATTGCGTCCATCGTAGCAATGGTCGCTACGTGCCATATCTGAGTTCCACGTTGCTTCCTTGACTTCGTAAAAACCGATGCTTGGCCCATCAAACACACACGCACACAAATCTGCTTGGTCATTCGTTATTGTCTCATTGTCCCTTGCTTCTTTCTGATTGCGCCACACACACAAATCTGCTTGGTCATTCGTTGGTGTCTCATTGTCCCTTGCTTCTTTCTGATTGCGCTCTGTCAAGCAACTTGGAGAACGGGACATCAGGCACAATCTCACAGAGAAGGCATTTAGGCTAAAGGGCAAAGGGTGAGAAAAAATCCAAAGAGATATTCTCTGGGGGAGCATATCTTTCTTGTTCTCCTATTTATGTCAGCAAAGCTTTCTCCTTTGCAGTTTGACTCAGGTTAACTAGTCAAGAAGCGAGTTGCTGTTTACTGCTACATGCTTATGAACTTTGAATGAATCTTCTTGCTAATAATTTCTGTTCTTTCTACTTTATTAATGTGATCTTGTTAAATTCATGTAGATATACACGAGTTGCAGTAGACGATTTGGCGTGTTCTCTTCGCTTGTTTATTCTGTCGGAAAGCTATCATAACCCAATATGAGAAAATACGAACAGCGGAAGCTATGATAACGCAGAAAGTTGCTCAAGCGGCCGAGAGAGATGGAACAATTGGCGAGATGACGGGTCAAGTGAAACTGCTTGCACGCATACATATAAATGCACCCTTCAGATTTATTTCCGTAACTCCCATCATATGATTTACGTTGAGAATTCGAGAAATCCTGATTCTTACTGGGAGGCAAGGCAGCATTTTTTTGAATCTACTCACACTCTCACAGAGATTTTTTAGGAATTTCTCCTAAAACACTGAAAGGTTAAAATCAATTGGGAAGGTCCATTCGGTCTTCGCCAAATTTAGTAATTAGAAATACAATTTCTTTTTATTAAATATTGTGCAATGAAAGTAGCTAAATGTCATGTTCATTCCGTAGCTCCATTTCATTAGGTCGAATTAGGATTAGAAGATTCCTTGCGGGAAATCCCCAGTTCCTAACCTAGCGTTTTCCTTTTAATTTTCTTGGTTTTAGTGGAGCGTGTGAGGTCATTAACCGCGTTGCGGTGGATCAACTGGGTTTTGTTATTAGAACTAAGCACTATGTCAGCCTCAGGAATCTTACAAGAAGAAAAGCAGGTATCTTGCAAAAAGAAAAGCCACATCCGGAAACTTATAATACAATTTTCTAATCGTGACTTACAGAATATGAATTAAGTATATGAAAATTGCACTGCAACTAGGCAAGAATGACAATGCAGCAGCCCGGGTCAGAAGAGCTTTACAATATCTCCTCATGGTCCCAATCTGTCTCCCAAAAGTTAACTGCCAGATAACAACTACCGGATAGGAGACGTAGTTTGTTTTTTTTTTGGGTCAAAAGATAGGAGACGTAGTTTGAATGAGTTTATCATTTTTATTTTAAAAAAACTATACAATGCTCATTCTGTACAAGAAATAGAGATCCAAAGCAGGGAATCAAAAACTCGAAAACACGCCCATATCAGTGAGTTTTTAGGTGTTCAATTCCAAAGGTTGGTTGTGTTGTAAATGCATGTGCAAGGGATGTAAAAACTACGAGAGCTTCTTCGTTTGCTTAAAAACAAAAAGAATAAGAGGGGGGGGGGGGGATTCTACTCCATTCAGAAAGTCAAGTGATCATATAAACCATAATAATCCACAACGATATATTTATTCGAATGAACTATAGATCTTCAGAGTTTACAAGGTAACCGATAATTAAGTGCAAAAGATCGGGATCTGGTCCCCATTCATCCGTTTTGTAACGCCCATGAGTTGTGTCACGCCCGAACTCGATAAAAATCATAAACAGAAGGCATAACGAGACAGCCCAAATATATAGAAAAATAAACATGAGTGGTCTGTCTATCCATATAAAATACACGAAAAGCTCCAAACTTTGATAGATGATATATGGAAAAGAAAGGAAGAAATTTAGAGAAACTTGATATATAGTGAAGGTATATATAGAGTTTCAGCTTTCTAGAAATACACACCACAAAAAAAACAAAAGAAGACAGTCTGAAAAACGAAGAAAGCACGCAGTAAAGATGACATATGGCGGGAACAGAAGATGAAAGAGGCCTCAATCACAACAAGCAGCGCCCTCCTTCTTCTTTGTTTTCGTCTGTCTTAGTGATGACCAGGAAGTTTTTCTTTGATCTTCTCCAAGAAACCCTTCTTTTCCCCCTCCTCGCCGGTCGGTGGTTGAGAAGAAGTAGGAGGAGGAGGAGGAGGGACCTCCTCCTGTGTCTTCTCCGCATGCTGACCTGGCAGCTTCTCCTTGATCTTGTCCATCAGCCCCTTCTTCTCCTCCCCCTCAGCTGCCGTTTCCCCTGCTTTCTTCTTCTCCTTCTTCTTCTTCCTCTTCACGCCATCTTCTCCTACTTCTTCCTCTTCGCTCGACGACTATACACACACACATATATATATAATCAGCTGAGTTAGTTAAGAGTGCTCTCACTACTCAACTTAACGCGAATCATAAAGAAGATCAACATATATACTTACGGAGCTAGATGAGTTGGATCGATGAAGCTTCTCCAACAAACCGGGCTTCTGATCAGACTTCTCTTCCTTTTTCTTCCCAGAAAAATCAAAAAGCCCACGGTCCTGGGTCTCCACCTCAGTCGTCTTCTGCTGATTCTCCTCCGCCATGTTTGAAAGATACTCTCAGGAAGTAGCTTGCCTTGCACTTAGCGGTACTCCAAGTTCGCTCTCTCTATGCAACTGATGATGAACTGGGGGTCCAAGTAGGGAGATTTATAGTTCGCAAAACGCGGATATGACGCTGCTCAGATTCAAAAAAATATTTGGTGTAACCGACGTGTCGATTAAGATAAGGGGAAATTAAAACCAGGGATGTGATCCCATCACTTTAAACTGTTAAACTAATATTGATCTCACGTTCCGTGCTTCCACTTGGAGTCGCTGTCATTGATGGACACCGCAAATATCGGCTCTGAACAGGCGACGAGTTCCCTGCTGTTGGAAGCAGGTGTACCAATCACGTAAGCTAGTGATCGAGTGCGCTAAGGAAAGATGATGGAGACACATTCCTGTAGCAGAGCCCATGAGGATCTGACACGTTGATGGGTCGGGTACAGTGGGACCTGAATAAGTTGGCCTCGATAGTCTAATAGGATTAAATTTCGAAAGGTCGGTGGTACCTGAAGACACGTGGCAGAGCGCGGAAGGCTGAGAGACGAGGAGTTTTCGAGAGTTATGTTGGTGACGGTGGGCCTCGGTTGGCCTTTTCCCATGGCATGAGTGCATTATTACTCTGAACAAGATCATGGAATTTGAAGCGTTCTGGTGAAGGTTATTCGTATAGGTTAAAAAACACATAAATACATCTGAATTTTTTTTGATTAAATTTTTATTTGAAACAATCCTATTTAAAATACTAATAAACATTAAATATAAATACCTCTCTCAATAGGATTTAAATCTTGATTCACTAATATTATAAAGGATTAGCTTCTTCTATTAAACCCAACTCCTGGTAGTACATCTGAAATTTTTTATTCAGTATATATAAAATAGAAAATTTTTAACCCCATGGTTCCATATGGGCTTATGACAAGGCATCATATTATTTCGTATAAATTCTAAAATTAAAAAAAAATACTTTGTTAGGTGTTGATTTGATTGTTTTTTAACTACATCCATACTACTTCATTTCATTGTTAGTTTTACAGATATTAGTATGTTAATGTAAATGCACTTAAATTAATAGATATAGTCATCGATTAAATAGATAATAATAGTTGGGGAAAAATAGATAATAATAAGTAAAAATCGCAACAAAAAAAAAAGATTTTAAAAGCAGAAAAATTGCAAATAATGTTATCACATAAGAAAATAATTAATGAGCAAATAACAAGTTGTGATGATAAATCTTTGTGTGTGATTTTTTAATTTTTAGGATTTTTTTTACGATTTATTCTAACAATAAAGTATGCTGGCATTCTATCTCCCTGTTTCCGTTGCTTGAGAAACCCAAATGGCCAAATCAGAAACGTCCCTTCTATCTCTCTCTCTCTCTCTCTCTCACTATGCACGCACGCATTTATAACTATTCATCCGGTAATTGTGTACAGGAGACTTATATTTAAGACTGAAAAAGTATACAATATTAAATACTCATCCGGTTTTTAATATAAGACCTATTTAACTAGTATGATTAAATTAAAGAAGTTAGATAAATTAGTTAATTATAATAAATATGACATATTTTTTCTAAAACACCATAATCATCTTCCTTAATAACATCTCTCCATCTTTTACTTGATTGTGGTTGAAGAAGTATCCATAGGAATAATTTAAGAAAAATTGATAATTATGAAAAATAAGTATTATATTTAAGACCAAAATCAACTCAATAATTAAGTCTTATATTAAGAACCGAAAGAGTACTAATGATTGAATGAAATTTAAGGAAATATCATGTATCTACATGAACTCAAATTTAAAACCTTGTATTTTTTTTTGAGCAAATTAAAACCTTGTATTTAACTAATCACAACTTCTTTCATCAGGATTAATACATGTCGGCAATGTCTATTTTACTTTTTTAATGTCATGCTCATAGCATGACCTATATGAGCCTCTTGTTGGGTCACATGTAACACGAAAGATGTTAGGGAACTAAAAGGCTTAAATTCGATTTGACGTTGTTGAATATCAAATAGGGTAGACGCCTTACAAAATGTTGTTCATTCTCTGCTCAGATCTTCTTCCAGTTATTTCTCATATCTAACTAATGTCTTATTGGCTTCCCACTCTTCAGATAATACGACGTGCACTTTTTTTTGGGCCAAAAATACGACATGGGCTTTGGGTGCATATTTTTGTTATTTTAATATAATTGATCTTTTTATAAAAAAACAAAAATGAAGTAATAGGCTTCTAATTAAGGGGGCCCAAATCACCACTCAGACTAAACAGGAGACAATCCAATAGCTTTGAGCTGGTCTTTCATAGTTGGGCCACGGGCCGAATCTAAATGGGCCGCGAGGGTGCCTTAGAATGAAATGAACGGGCTGAGAATAATAACCCGAACGCGGGAAAAAGAATAAATTCGGAGAGGGAAGGTCCAAGGAAAGAAAACTAACGAAAATGAATCGGATGCTGCTCTGCTCGAGTCCTCCCCTCATCGAATTTCCAATATTCGCCTTCATGCCTCTGCAGTAGGTCTTCTTCGTCAACATTTTCATTGCACGGCAATAAAAAGAGACTCTCGGATTTCACAGATTGGGAAAGGAGAGGGCGGGAGGCTACCATGATAACTCGATCGAATCTCGCTGAACAGCTTAGAGAATATCAGATTCGATCCAAGCACGACTGGGCCTCTGTCTCCTTCTTCTCCTCCACTGCTTCAAATTTCTCGACTTCTAGGTATGCCAAACATTGAATTTTATTTTTTTTCTTTCGAAAATCGTGTTTTTTTTTTTGGGTTTTTCCCCCCCTTATTTATCCCGTTTATTACCTGTTTATCGGAAACTGGGAATCATTGCATATTGCCTGGTCCTCTCCTCGTTGGTCATCCGCTGTGAATTGCATGTGTACGCTATTTGATTGAAAATGTTGTTGAATTTGCCATTTTCTTTTCAAATCAAGATTCGTCCAGACTGCCCGGGGCCTTTACTCGTCGATTTAGTTTGCTTCAATGTTTGTTTCACATTTTTTGTGTTTCATTTTGTCATTGTAATTTAGCTAGAGGCTGACATTGATATGACGAGGTAAACGGCATGGCAATAATTTGACGGGCTGGTTGATTGATTTTGGCCAGGTTTATGAATAAGTTCAAATTATCGATATGAAAATGTTCGGGGTAATATATAGAATGCGAAGGAAATATTTGTAGTCTCGGGGAATGAATTTCTCGCCAAGATATGATGCGTTTGTTAAATCAGGATAGATCACTTGATTAATCTGTCAAAACATCTTTTTACCATTTTTTTTTGGGCCAACGAAACCGCTTGTCGACAATAAAAAATTTGCGATCTATTGTTCATTCCTTTTGAAATTTTATCCCTTTATATATCGGACGTTGTGTTGCTGTGAAGAAGATTGTGCTTGTTCAAGGCACTTAACAATATTTGTTAGATTCAATTCTTCATAATAGCAAGTTACTATGCTTAGATTGGAAGGGCATCTATTCGATGATTTTATTAGTTTTGTTAAGCCTATAGGTTCACATATAGTAATCCGCACAAGTTTGTTTGGCCTGAATGGTGCTGCAGATTTGAAGTATAGGAAAGCATGTTTCTCGTTTAGGTAAATTTGGGGTGGGGGCAAAATAATGTTTATTCGCTTAGTAGTTTTGGTTTCGCCCCTCAACCTGCTTTCCTCCTCTTCTTCTGGTGCTCCTCCTCATCCTTTTCATTTTAATACTAGAAGTTAAGGTGAGTTAGGTCCTAGTGGCTTGCCAAGGTTAAGGTAAGCCTCATGGTTCAAATAGCATTTATAGAGGAAGATTCGAATCCAGTTATTTGTGAAATATTAGTCATATTGTTATCAAAGACCACATTTACTAGCAACATATTTGTTCTTTCTCGCTAGAAAAGCCAATTGATTTCACAATTGATCTTTTGGCATACGAATAGCCATAATGGGATAATGATGTTTAATAGGCCTTAAACCACCATTTAATTACCTCAGGCAATCTCAGTTTCAAATCTGATTAACTCTGTCTGACTGGATGGACGATTATTGAGATCAGTGTTATAGTATGAAAATCAACATCCTCATTAATTTATTGGCCAAAAATAATCTCATCAACTTAGAATCCCTTGTGATTGTCTTAATGCGAAGAATTGCTGTACTTGTGTGAATGTATTTAGGATAACATTTATATGATGATATTGATGCCTTTTGTTCTCTTTCTCTTTTGATGCAGGGTGGATGTTGTGGTCTTTGTAATATGGGAACTTGTCATTTTAGCATTCCTGGTCTTTTCGGCAGTCTCTTTGTACTTTAGGAACGTCCGGCTAGCTTTTATATTAGTCAGCATCACAGTTTTGTTGCTTTTATGCATGAAAATTACAAAGCAAGTAAGATTGGCAAGGAAAAAGAAACGGAGGATGCTTCTTCCGTTGTCCATGTAAAATGGTAACAAGTATTGATCTTTTGCTTATTCTATATACCCATTTCTTTTTCCCCCATCTCTTTCCCTATCGGATTGTGTCGCATCTAGCAAGCTGAGTAAAGCGTATAATTTGAGATTTTACCTTAAACCAAGCTTATCAAGTTGACTCGTGACATGGGAGAAGTGTGTGTGGTGTTTCTTATCTGCTGTTTGGCGTTGACGGTTGTCTTAGGGAACGAATTGAAACCATCTTAAGAATCCTGGGTAGTCGCTAACAGCGGATCACTTTACTTCTCCGCGCTGTTTGCGCCAGATGCACCCATTACCCTCAAACTCTGTACGTCTGAAATTAGTTTGCAGAAAAATCTTATTTATCGATTTTAGTTTTCTACCCGTAACATTTGATATTGGAAATACCATCAGGGGAAACACTGTCCTGATATTAAATACTTTTTATACTGTTAAATATAGAAATTTAAACTAATTATCTGTGTCAGTTATTTGTAAAATATGTGTTAATTTTTTAATAATATCTTTTAATTATTTGTATTAAAAATTACATCGTGATAAAAAATTCTTTCTGATATATATTATCAATAGGAATAATTTGAAAAGAAAATTATAAATTTGGGAGATTAAATAAATTGGAGTTTTGCATTTAATTGCAAAACAAATTCCTCAACAATTTCCTAACTTTAGGGTTAGAGAAAGTACTTCGACTGCAAATGAAGGTTA